ATACTGACTCACTCTCCTCCTTGGTTTCCAGTTCTCCTCACCCTGAGCAGCACTTCCCTTTATTATCTGGGGGGAGGGCCGTGGGTGTTCTGGTTTCTGAGGGCAGCGTCTGTGGTTGGACTTTGCAGGGCATGCCTCTGGTCCTGCTGCTGCAGACAGCCTGGGTCTGGGGTCCCCGTAGAGGGTCTGGAGCTCTGCCTGGTCTGCTTCAAAGTCTGTGGCTGCCAAGTGTGACAGTCCCCTGGATAGAAGCAGCTGGTGGCCTGTGAACCTGGACACACTAAGACCAAAAGCAAACTAGCTCCCAGGCCTCTGATCTCATCCTGGTAGGATGATAAAGGAAATGAGTGGAACAGGATATGGCGAAAAGAGAGGACGAGTATTACAGTCCCTAAAATGAAAAGCTGAGCTCCTCAGTCCTGGGAGCCATATTTCAGGTGCTCAGTAGCCACCTAGGGCTGGTGGTACCGTCAGGGACAGCACAGATATAGGACATTCCCATCACGGCAGAAAGTCCTATCGGACAGCCCAGCGCTGAGGAGACTCGGGTAGTCGGAGTTTTGCCAACCTTAAAACACAGCCTCATAATGGAATATTATTCAGCCTTAAAAAGGAAGGAAACTCCAACACATGATACAACATGGATGAACCTTAAAGACATGCTAAGTGAAAGAAGCCAGCCACAAAGAAATGCTGTAGGAATCCACTCACATGCCGTACCTGGAATAGTCAGATTCATAGAGACAGAAAGAATGGTGGTTGCCAAGGGCTGGGCAGGGGTCTGGGGAGTTAGTGTTTAATGGATGCAGAGTCTCAGTTTGGAGTGATAAAGAGGTTCTGGGATGGATGGTGGTGATGGCTACGTAACAGTGTGAATGTCCTTAATGCCACTTACTTGTACACTTAGAATGCTCGAGATAATAAATTTTGTGTTATATGTACTTAACAATAAAACCCCCACACAACCTCACAAACTACTAAAAATTATTCCCGAATAACTTTCCGAATAAGGTATTTATTATGCACAATGCAATATACAGATGGTGTATTTTAGAATTGTACACCTGAAACCTATATAATTGTATTAACCAATGTCACCCCAGTAAATTCAGTTTCACAAAAAGATATTTATTATGGGCAGAGGGCAAGGATGGTGGGTTTCTTCTTGAGCACATAGGATGTCCCCAGAGAGTTCCCGCTCAGCGTTCATTTCCACTAGCACCTGCCCGGCAGGCTGTGTCCCCCATTCTTCAGATGATGTCTGGCCAAGGACACGTAGCTGGCATAAGGAAGCACCGGGATTAAACTCAGGGCTGTCTCGCCCCCAGGGGTAAAATATCTGTGGTTAGACTTTGCAGCATTAAACCCAGGTCTGCTGCCTCACATTAATAAATACTTCAGTGCTTTGAGCTGAGCTTCTGTGGGTAAAAGCAAGTCAGGACAGAGCCTGTGAGTAACTTCCTGTGAGAGGTTACACAGGAGGACTGAACTGCAGCGCTGGATGGGGCCTCTTAGCTGGCCTGCACATCCAGATGGGGCCAACGGGAACCCCTCTCTGACATGGGGATCGTGCGTTTATTTCAGCAAGGCCCGCTGTGGCCTCACCAGTTCCTGAATGATGCAGACCAAGCATTTCCCCATCACCACGCAGCACAGAGTAGGCGCCGATGGGAAACCACAAATAAAACCACAGCCTCTGTGGGCAGCCCTTCAGGGTGCTGGCCAAGCTGAGTCTCACCCCCCTACCCATGGTCATCACAGAGGAGGCAGGGATCTGCAGCCTGGAAAAGTGGTCCCATTTCCTGAGTGCAGAAGGGCAATCCTGTTTCATTGTCTTCGTAGCACCTCAGAGGCTATTTGATGGTAGAGACGCACATGGGCTACGGTCTCTGGCCCCCTCTTGCTGGCTGCAGGCTCATGGAACATTTCTTCACTTCTCTGTACTTCTGTTTCCTGGATAGTAATGTCCATTTTGAAGGAGCATTCTAAAGGTTTAGTGGGAGACCGTGTCTAAAGAATCTAATCTGTGCTTGGCATATATACTTATTTCTCTTCTCGTCTGCTTCAAGTCCTCTCTTCCCTCTGCAAATGCCTGCACAATATCTGTGCTTGTTTCTCTCAGGCTACTCGAAACTTCTTTCATTCTATCAGAGGGCACATCTTGAGTGCTAGGTGGCTTTCCCTCTGCTGGAATCCTGGGCCATGGACTGGTCAGGATGGCTATATGCTGCTATGACAGGCAGCCTCGCTATACAACAAGGGTTCATTTCTCACTTGGGCTATATGTCTATCAAAGGTTGTTGGGGGCTTGGGACCCTCCTCACTCCAGGACCCTCCCTGATAGAGACGCCACTATCTGGAGTGTGGCCAGTCACCATGGCAGAAGGAAATGGACGGTGGTAAATCACGCACCACTCATAACTCTTCCACCCCGAGTGACACAAGTCTCTTCCGCTCACATTTAATTAACCACATTCCACTGGAAGGTGGTGGGGAGGTTCCGATCTGCCACGTGCTCAAGAGAAGGACCAGAAATCTGATGACGGCGTTGATGACTCCAGAGCCCAGCTTTCATCTGTAAAGTAACCCTGCAAGTTGGTATCATTATGACCAACTTAAAGATGAGGGCCACTTGGGGTATATCACTTCCCCAAGACCACAAGCAGCAGATCTTTGTGATTCCATATATCAGATCAAATATATTAATTCCTTCAAAGGTCAGAGAGACGTTTCTTGTACAATTAAAGGTTCTTGTTTGGGGTCCTGTTTCCTTTCCTCCTCTGTCCCCACAGCAACCTACACCTCCCTCTTGGTGTGTCTGACTCCACCCTGCAATGGCCAGTTTCCTTTTCAGCCTCCGCTCTAGACTGTGAGTCTCATCACTACGCCGTGGGCCAGCCCAGAGCCTCGCTATCTGGAGCCAGCCTGACATTGAATTCCCTTAAATGTCAGAGATGCATTGGTCACATTTTTTGGTATTCTTCCCCTTACAGATGCAGATGTTGGACAAATTTCCCATGGAAGGTGGACAGAAGGACCCCAAACAGAGGATCATTCCCTTCCTGCCAGGTGGGTGAGACACCTGCTCTGAGACGGGGCCTGTGAGGGATCCAGTGCTGCACCTGGATCTCTCTGCTCTGCCTCCTTGGGGCACTGTCGCAGTGACCAGCATCTCAGTCATTTGTGGAAATGAGTGGCTAAGAGTGTTTGCGTTGGGGTTAGATGCCTCACCATTTGCTAGCTTAGGTGAGACACTTCACTTCTGGGAACCTCAGTTTCTCCTACCTCTAAAATGGGACTAATTAAACTCAGTGGGAGTTTTATGAGTGGCATCTATTATGTATCGGTTTTCTATTGCCACCAATTTAGCACCCATTTATTATCTCACAGTTCTCTCGGTTAGGAGTCCAGGTGGGCTCAGCTGGTTACTCTGTTTAGGGTCTCACAAGGCCAGAGTCAAGAGCTGGGCTGGGCTCTTATCTGGAGGATCTGAGGAAGAGTTCAGTTACTTGCAGCTCTGGATGCCTGTTTCCTTGCTCGCAGTCAGCCCTGGTTTCCAGAGGCTGCCTGCATTCCCCCTCTGTGACCCCTCCATCATCAGGCCAGGGCAGTGAGGCATTGAATCTTCCTTGTTCTTTAAATGTCCCTGACGGCTCCTTCTGCGACCCTTCAGAGAAAGCTGCCTGCTTTGAAGGACTCATGTGATTACGTTGTGCCCACCTGGCTAACGCAGGATAATCTCCCTCCCTTAAAGTGAACCATGGCCTGTAGTGTAATGACCCCAGCAGTGAGATCCCATTATAGTCACAGGCTCTGGGGATCAGGGTGGGACATCTTGGGGGGGAGGGACATTTTAGAAATTCCACCTGCCTACCATGGACCTCTGAGTGCCAGACGCCTTGGAAGAGTTAATCTAATAAAGGGATTCATGTCCCTTTCCTCCCCAAAAATTCCTTACCAAAGGAATAGAATCAGGCCTCAGCTCAGACAGGGGGCTGCCCAACCCGTGTTACTGTCTCAGAGTAGCTACTGCTGATTGGATGTCCACTGTGTGCCAGTCACTGGGCTAAGTACTTTACATGCGTTACCTCATTCAGTCCTCAGAACAACCTTGCAGGGTAGGTACTACTGTGCCCGTTTCACAGATGCAGAAACTGAGGCTCATCTCTTCTTTGATCCTGGGTAAATCACTTCAGCACACCAAGATTCATTTCTTCATTTGCAAATTGGAGATACTAATGCTACTTAAATAGCAGAGTTGTTAGAGGGTTAGGTAAGTGCCTGGCACAGAACTAGCGGCACTCAGGCACTCACTGTTATTTTTATGTCCAGGTCATCAGCAAATTGACCATCACCCTAAATCACAAGTGTTTAGAGCTGAAAGGACCCTTTTCATTTTGCAGAAGAGGAAGCAGGCCCGGCAGTGGGGGAGATTTCCCAGGTCACATGGGAGCCCGGGCTCTCCTCCCCCACTCCAGGGGCCTGCCCTTGGCGCGGGAGTGGGTTCTTCCAGATGTCGTCATTGTCAAGTGGGCTTGGAGACAGGGTGGAGGTGTTTGCCAGGCCCCCTTCCACTGGGAGGATAATTTGCCTGAAAAAGCTAATGTTTTTAGTTCTTCCATGGGGAGAGTGTGCAATCACACTGGAATTTTCTTTTCCTATCGGGGAAAATCAGGAGTGCCAGCTGCTATAGCCAGATGTTCGTGCTCCAAACCATGTGCTTTGGAGTCAAACAGACCAGCCCTGTGACAAGTGGCCGACATCCACCCCGCCCCCTGCTGAGCCTCAGTGTCCACATCTATAGAATGGGATGTGATCCCTGCCTTTCCAGGTTCTCTCCCAGACACATTGTAGGTTCTCAGTTAAGGCAAGAATGGTCCCACCGTGTTCCTTTGGAATTATTGGTATTTCATACCTTGGAGTTGTGACTTAAGTGGTTGGTCTGAATATTCAGATTGAACTGGGCTGTAAATGTCGGTTTTTCTCCAAGGAAGGAAAGGCAGGCAGTGAGTTATAAGTCTTACTGGCTGAAAGGCAAAAACCAGCTCTGGAAAAACTTCCCGGGATAGGGAAGAACTGGAGCCGACCCTCTCCCAAACCCCTGGAAGCTTTCGTGGTTACGTAACTCTTTTCCACCCACGAATTCATGAAAATGCTCTTCTCAGGGTCTTGGCCCAGTTTCCCTGCTCAAGGCACCCATTGTGGCTTGGAGAGGTCCCACTGGGCCCTAGCTGCCTGGAGTGTCCCTTCCCAGGCCACCTCTTAGCTTTCCCTCGAGGCCTAGGCCAAGGGCAGGGACCTGCGGGAGAAACATCCCCTCTCCTAGGGGTCACTTTTCGGCTAAGACGGCCACGTCAGCAGAACAAAAGCGAGGCTCTTGTTAGCACAGAGGCAGGGGGAGGGGAGAGCTGCCCTGTTCAATTTTCCACCCCGGCAAGAGCTGGGGGAAGCCAACTTGGCAGAGGCCACAGCTTGAAAATTAAAAATTACAGTTTGGCCTTCCTCCACGGTGGAAAACAAAAGGCCACTCGTTCCCACCGAAGGCTGTTCTCTGCCCCGAGCACCCCTTCTGCCCCAGCAGGCTGGCCCGCCCCTAGGGCTGGGTGCAAGCACGCTCCTCCCCGCCCCACGACTCAGACACACTTCATCAGATGGGGACCAGGGGTCACGGCCCCAGCAGCCTTTCACCCTGGGGGTGCTGGCCAAGGGCACGCTGGCCACACGCTCTGCCCCGCGGCCGTGGCCCAGCCTGAACTCCAGCTCTCCTGCTGGTAAATGGCCAGTTAGCCAGCGGGAGGCAGGTCTTAGGAAATGAAGCTGGGATCTAAGGAAGGACGTGTGCTCGTCAGTGTAGAGTGTGATGTGGTATCATCTGAACTGTTTGAAAAAGCAGAAAGTAATACCCTTTTGTGAGGGTCTGAGCCCTGTGCTGGGTGTGACGGGGTTACCACGAAGGGGGGCTGCGCGTTTCCCAAGGCAGCACAGCCAGTAAGAGGCAACCCTCGGATTGACACGAGGCTCCCTGTCTGTCTCCCCTGTTGGCAGGACACCTGACATGTGCCCAGAGACTCCTGTCCCACTGAGGCTGCACAGTGAGAGGAGTGATGCCTTTGTCATTGTGTCACTGCCCCCTGGAGACACTGAAGGAGCCCGAGTTCTCTGTTCTCATCTCTCAGGCCCTGCAGGCTGGCCGGGTGGATTCCCTTCGATGGTGGTGGCCCCAGGGCCGGCCTTGCTCTTGGGGGTGACAGGGTTTAGTACCACGCCTGTTGTAAGTCTTCCGAGCCAGCTCACCACCTTCTCAGCAAGAAGCCTGTGCAGCCCACTCTCCGCCCTTCCTTGGACTTACTCAAGGGGAAATTATACCCAGATGGGACCAAATGTTTTCAGTAGGGCCCCTCTCCCTGTGGAGAAGTAGACTAGAGGGCAGGAAGCATGTGCTAGGCAGGGTTGCTCCTCACTCAGCCCTTCCCGAAGGCTCAGGACAAGCCTAAGGGGTCTAATTCCCACCCATGTGGTGGTAAACTGATGCTCCCAGTGACTGGGGGTGGGAGGGGCACGAGAAGGTTGCCAGCGCCCTCTGGAAGGTTGCCAGTGCCATCCTGCAGGGTGGGGGCACCCAGGGAAGGACTGCCTCCCCCCAAATGTCCACAGGGTCCCTGCCTATTGGGGAACACCAGCTGTCAGTGCAGGGGAGCGGGCCCCCAGCACGGACACACGGAGGACTCCCATAGAGACTGTGCCCACCACATGAGTGAGGGGATAGAGCATCAGCTTGCAAACCCCTTCCCACATTGCTATTATTTGCATTTTTTGTTCCAAATGACATGAAAATGTTCTGATTCTAGAAGCCATATATGTTTATGGTAGGAACTTCAGCGAACGTATAAAGAAAACAAAACGTCTCTTTCACCCCTCAGAAACAAACCCTGTGAACCCTGGGATGCATTTTCTCCTAGATTTTTCTTTTCTAGCAAGCGTGGTGTATCAGACATTTGACCAGTTCCTACGCAGAATTAAAACTATCACCATTATAAAGAAAGGAGATTCCTAGTTATTAAGGAATATGAAGAATAGGTGTTTTATCTCACTGGGATTTTTTAATTGGTGGGAATGAGCAAAAAAAAAAAAAAAGGCTCAATTAAGCTGAATATATCTGCCTAATTTCATAATAGTGCTTTTTGACCCACGGGCAGTTGTTTATTTTAAACACTGAATTAGCTAAGTGGTCTTTCGGGTGCAAATCTCCCTTGCCACCTTGCGTTACAAATCTGTTGAAGTCAATCAGCTTTTCCCGGCACCCTTTTCAATTTTCTGGCATGAAAACTCGAACCTTTCCTGCCCTCCTGTTCCTGCTCACCCAGGCTTGATCTATGGAAACGGCAGTCTTGCCAGAGCCGTGTTAGAACAGTGCCTGATCCCTCTTTGCCCGGCCAGCCTGGTGACCCAGACTCCTCTCCTTGACCTCAGACCAGAATTGAAGCTTTTCGTGGGTCTCCATGCTGTGCTGCCTGGGAGCTGTGGTCTCCCTGTGCCTTCCTCTTTGACCTTGGACACCTCCTGCAGGCTCTGCATAGCATGGCAGAGGAGCTCCTCTCCATCTCCCACCTCTCCGGCCCTCCGTGATGTCTCTTATCTGCTTTGCTCCCCCTGCCTGTGTGTGACACATCCAGAATCATGAGCCCAGGCTTGCTTAATCTTGGGTGCGTGCACTCTGCTAACATCTCAAACTCTGGGGGACCTACAGATTTGCTTTAAATGAACCTCACCCATAACATTTGAGTGTCTTGGATATTTCCAGGGACCCTTGGCATCATTTATATACTTGTCTCTGCCTATGACCCACATCCTCTGCCCATATGTCACACTGGAGTCTCTGGTACCTCACTCCAGTGCTCAGGATGTCACTGGGCAAGTAGTGGTGGACTCTCAGTATCCAGTGAGGTAGGAAGGCTTGGAATCCTGTGGCAAACACCAGTCAGGGAAGAAGTTAGAGGGATCTGTCATCTTTGCATGTGGAAGCCACCTGGTGAAAGCACCAAATTGACTAAGGCACAGTCTGTCCCTATTTGTGCAGAGCCCACAACTGGTAAAGAAGACCAGTACATCGATAATGTGGCATGTGCAGTCAGAAAGAGACAGGAACTCCTAACCCATGCGAAGTGGGCACGAGTTCCCCCACAGGGATGGCGGATGGAGTTGGATGTGCCAGGCAGAGGGAAAGGCAGTGTGAGACGGCATGGAGTTCTGAGAGGCTGAGACTAGAGCAGAAAGAAGGTGCGCGAGGAAAGGGGAGGAAAGGAGACTGCGCTGCTGGGTCAGGGCCTGTCCGAGTGTCTGCTGCTCTGCCCAGGCAGCCTGAGAGTCCTGGCGCTGGACAGGGCCTCAGACACCAGGCCTACCTTCCCTCCCCTTCGGGTGGGAGCGCCCTCCTTTCATGGACTGGTTCCTGCCCCCTTTAGCTCCTCAGAACTTACCCATCGGGTCCCCCTCCCGCCAGCCTGTGCACTAGAACTGTGAGCAGGGCTTTGGAGGCCCACGCATGGGATCCTTCCAGGCCCTGTGGATGTCCAACAGGGGCTATTGATGACAGCCAGGAATTTGGGTACCGCCCAGGCCTAGCAGAGGCATCTAGGGCACACCCTCCAGGTTGCTGAAAGCCCATCGCTGCTCCCTGACAGTGCTGTGTGCTCTCGCTCTCTGCAGGCAAAATTCTCTTCCGACGGAGCCACATCCGGGACGTGGCCGTCAAACGCCTGATACCGATCGATGAATACTGTAAGGTAAGCCTGGGAACTGCCAGCTTCCCAGTGTCTTGTGTCTGCCCTGTGGGCAGGTGTGTTTTTTTCTTCTTTCCCTTTTCTGGCTATAAGATGCTTATTGTGAAAATCTGTACCGTTGAAAGAAATGTAAAGAAAGTAAAAAAACAACCATCCATGATCTTTCAACTCAGAGGCAACCAGTGTGAAGGTTTGTACCTGTTTTTATTCCTTTCCCTCCTGCGCGTTTCTTTATGGTTTTGAGACCATCCCATTGGCGTTATTTTTGTTGCTCTTTCTCTTTTCTTTAATATTGTAATATAAGAATTTCCTGTGCTATTAAAAAATCTTCTTGAGCATACTTTTAGTGGCTGCATAGTATCCCACTGTGCATGAACGATCCAAAAGCTATTCAACCAGCCCCTGTTGTTGCACAGGGCAGCTGGTGTCCAATCTCATGAATGTTTTAAAGGAAAAGGGGCCTGCCTTTCGGTTATATTTTGTTTGAATTGAGGCTGTAGTTGGGAAAGAAGCATATTTTTCAGTTAGTTTAGCCTCTCTTTAGTGTTTATTTCTCTAACTTAAAATCACTAGCAGTTGCCCAGCCGGTGTGGCTCAGTGGTTGAGCCCCACCCATGCACCAAGAGGCTGCCAGTTCGATTCCATCAGGGCACGTGCCCACTTTACGGGCTCAGTCCCCAGTGAGTGGCATGCAGGAGGCGGCCAATCATTGTTTTTCTCTCACCGATGTTTTTATCTCTCTCTCTCCCTCTCTCTCTAAAATCAATAAAAACATTTTAAAAATCACTAGCAGTTGCAATGGGAAAAGGGTAGGTAGGAATAGCAAGAAAGGCTTTAAAAATAGAGCAACGGATGCTCTCTCTCCCTGAGATCAGGAACAAAGCAGGTACATTCGTTCTGGGAACTTCTATTCTACTTTGAAGCTCTAGCCAGGGTGAGTAGGCAAGAAAAAGAAATAGAAGGCATGCAGGTTGGAAAGGGAGAAACAAAAATGCCTGGATTCACAGATGACGGGATTCTGTTGTAAAAACCATTAGGGATCCACGGAAACACTGTCAGAACTAGTGGGCGAGCTTAGCAAGATCACAGGGTACAAGATCAATGGTATCTCTATACACTAGTAACCAACAACCCAGACATGAAATTAAGAAAATAATTCCTCTCACAGTAGCATCAAAAAGAATAGAATCCATTGCTGAGAGAAATTGTAGAAGCCCTGAATGGAGAGGCAGTCTATATTTATGGACTAGAACCCTCTGTAGTGTTAAAATGGCAGTGCTCCCCCAATTGCTCTACAGAGTCAATACTAAATACTATCTCTGTCAAAATCCTAGTAGACTTTTTTTTGTAGAAATTAACAAGTTGATCCTAAAGTGTATGGGGAAATGCAAGGGACCCAAAATAGCCAAGACAGTTTTGAAAAGGAAGAACAAAATTGGAGGGCTTGTACTACCCATTTTCAAAACTTCCTACAAAGCTACAGTAATCAAGATAGTGTGGTACTGTCAGCAGGGTAGGCATGGAGGTTAGTGGAACAGAATTGAGAGCCTAGAAGTGAATTCTTTCCATTTAGAGGCAATTGATTTTCAACAAAGGCACCAAGAAATCCAATAGGAAAGAATAATTGTTTTAATAAACAATATGGGTTTAAAAATATGCAAAAATAATAAAGTTGGACCCTTACCTCACATCATGCACAAAACATCAACTCAAAGTGGATCACAGACCTAAACGTCAGAGCTAAAACTATAAAATGCCTAGAAGAAAACAAAGGAGAAAATCTTCGTGACCTCAGTTTAGGCAAAGAGTTCTTATATGACACCACAAGACAAAAATTGATAAATTTGACTTCATTAAACTTACAGACTTCTGTACTTGGATACCATGAAGAAAATGAAAAGATATGCCACAAATTAGGAGAAAATATTTGTAAATTATACATATGATAAGGGACATGCATTGAGACTATATAAAGAATTCTTGCAAATCAGTAATAAAAAGACAACTCAGCTTCAAAACAGACTAAAGATTTGAGTAGACAGAAGATAGACAGTGGTTAAGCATATGAAAGGAGTCCAGCATCATGAATCATTAGGGCGATGCAAAATAAAACCATAATGAGATACCCACACACCCGCTAGACTGGCCATCGTCCTCAAGACAGACACGACCGAGAGTTACTGAGGACACAGAGGAACTGGAGCCTTTGTTCTGGTGGAAACGTGGTGGGGAAGCCACTTTGGAGAACAGCTTGGCAGTTTTTTCAGAAGTGAAATTTATCACATGACCACTCCGAGGTATATACTCAAGAGAATTAAGACCTTATATCCACACAAAGATTTGGGTGCAAATGTTCATAGCAGGATTAATTCATAATAACCCACCATTGGAAACAGTCCAAATGTCCGTCATTAGGTAAATAGATAAAATGTGGACTGTCCACACAATAGGATATTATTTGACAATAAAATGCGGTGAAATACTGATAAACGTTGCAATGTGGATGAATCTCAAAAACATGACGCTGAAGGGGGAAAGCCAGGTGCAAAAGACTGCATAGTGTCTGATTTCATTTCTATGAAATGTGCAGAAAAGGCAAATCTGTAGAGACAGAAAGCAGGTCAGTGGTTTCCTGGGCCTGGGGCGGTGGCAGTTAGAGACCCATCACAAATTAGGCCGGGGGAGATTTTTGAGGTGATGGAAAGTTCTAAAACTAGACTGTGGTGACGGTTGCACAACTCTGTAATTTACTAAATATCATTGAATTTAGTGTACTTATAACAGGCAACTTTTATGGTACATAAATTATACTTCAATAAATCTAAAAAAATGTGAAGGGGGGCAGTGAGGGGGCAGATGACCCTCCCGTGGCCGGAGACATCCTGGAAGCATAGAAAATCACTCCTGATTGCTCATGTTCTGTTTGCCAGACTCGACCTCATTTCATCTCTCCAGAACCTTGATAATAGGTACATTGTGCCATTGCGAAGGTAAGGAAACAGTAACAGCGCTGACCAGGTTGAGAGCTGAACCAGGCCTTTTAGGCCTTGGCGCTCACATACCGCTCATGGCTTCTCTGGAAAGTCAAAATTCAAGAGGCCGAAATATTTAAGCATAGCTTTCATAGAGGCAGCTACGCTCCGACCCTTCTCACTCCTGAGGATCTCCTTAAAAGGGGGGGGGG